TGTCATACCAATCAAAATATTCTTCTAAATTAGCTAACCAATCCAAGAATTCAAAAGGATTTTTGACGAGTTTGGTCATATGAGTTAACTCCATGTAAACATCCCTAGACTTCCCATGATAATGACCTTAATGAGAGATTCTTGAAACCTGTGCATTAGAGGAACTCATGTGTGACTCTTGAAAGATGAGAATGATATAAGAATAAGTTCAAGAATGCAATTGACAATTTCAAGAAGTGAGAAAGTTTAAATAGAAGAAAATGTGTTTTGGAGCTTTTGCAAATTCGCTATTTTCTCAATGAATAAAAATATTAGTCTTAAATTCTATGGGAGTATGCATACCATAATCAAGAGGAAATTCTGAAATTCTGAAATTTTTTAGAGTTATTTCTGTAAGTTTTGAAACTTTTTGGGGTGATATTTCTGAATTTTTTTGAAACTTCTAAGGGTAATTCTACAATTTTCTTGATTTGCTGGGGATGTTTTTTGCAATTTTGGAACTTATGAATGATTTTTTTGTGATGTGGGGGGGGGGGGGGGGGGGGTGGTTTTGTAATTTTAAAAATTTTTTGGAGGTGATTTTGAAATGTTTTGATTTTATTAGGGATGTTTCTGCAATTCTGGAATGTCTGGCAGTAGGTCTTCTTCTCCATGTCTCGTTCCTGAACAAAGCCCTAGCTACCCAGACTCCGACAAATTCCAACAATGACGATTACTTCCAACCTCGCGATGAACAGTGATAAATTTTGGTGTTACAATGATTCTAATTTGGATTTCTTTGTGGTGCTCAACTAAAGGAGCTAAACAACTATTCTGATTTGGATTGGGTGTACCCTCACAACAAACTGGCTGAAGATGTTCACTGCTTATGGCGATGAACAACAACGATGAACAACAACTGGGTGAAGAGGTTCACTGCTTATGGCGACAAATAGTGTGCGATAAATAGTGCCGCAATGAATAATGTTTTTCATTGAACAGTGTACACGATGAACAGTGATGATGTTATCTACGTGAATCAAAGTTGGGTTCTGATACTAAATTGATGTAGATTAGGAAGAGAAAAATTAGAGATGAGAAGAGAAGAAGAAAAAGATAAAAAAAAAGAAAGAATTGTGAGACGGAAGCACTATCAGTACTCAATAATAATTAATGTATAATTTAAATAAAACAATTACATGCATCCCTTTATATAGGGAAACTAAAATTCTAAAACAAATAAACCCTAAAAGTTAAAAAAAATTACTTAAAAGATAAATACTAAAAGTATCCAATAACCCTCATAATTAATCTAAAATATCTATCCAATTTCTATACGATCCTCATCAGAATTATTTACTCTTATTTTAAAAAAATTGAACACTTTATGATCTACACAAAAATTACTCATTTTGAAATTCAAACAAATTTAAAATCTCATTCATTTTAGGACATTCCAAATCAAGACTATCTTTTTCTTATACCATATATAGAGAGAGAATTTCCCAATTTGGAGAGAAAAATTAACTCACCATGGTTATAACCGGTGAAATCCAACAAATGTTGCCAATATGAGCTGGCCAAAGAAAATCACCTTCATGAACCTTTTGGATTTGCTACAACTACGAATGATTTTCTTGAAGGCAATGATCGACACAATATCTCAATAATATATGGTGGAGAAGACATATAGATTAGAGAGAATAGATAAATAATTGAATGAAAGAGATAGGAGAAAGAGAGATAAAATTTAAAATAAGGTATAGGAGAGGACGAGAAGAGATAGGAGAGAGAATGAGTGGTAGAGATGAGAGAAAGAAATCTAAATAAGTGACAGATGGAGAAGGATGTTAGAGAGGAGAGAAAAATAGTGGAATGAAAGAGAGAGGAGAGAAAGAAATTAAAGGAAGAGACTCTAGAGAGTATAAAGGATCTGAAGATCAAAATAGAGAAAAAAAAAAAGGAAAAGAGAATAAAAAGAGAGACTATTAGACGTGTTTACGAAAAATTTCAGATTCTTTGTTCTTAATGACATAATAAGTATTAGCCTATATATATTGACAAAAACATATTGTCACATTATACTTGATTCTAATTTCCACAAAGAAAGAAGATTATAACTTGTAAGGCCGAGAATGGTCAATCTTACGTTGAGTTTGTATTGTGCATAATTTTTATCAAATTAAAATTTATTTAATTTATACACACCTCATATATAATTTAAGATAGTTGAATTTTTATCATATATACTTTTCTGTATAGTTGATTTCATAAGGTCTAATGACCATAATTGTTATTGCTGATATATCCAAAATGCTATTTTTACTAAATTTTTAAAACCAAATTTCACATCTCAACTAATGTTTCTCATCAAGAGCCATCATTTATTATTTGAGCCCTCTTATTTTTTTATGGCTTGCTCACAAGTTGTTGCAAGTTCTAACCTCATCATCATCTATAACTAGTGCTTGTAATTCATCAAGCTAGTCGGGTCGACCTTATACTTCAACATGGCATGCCATCAACTTATTCACCTGCTATCGCTAACATGTTAGAATTCATTAGTTTGTCAATAAATTGAATTTTGATCCGACTTTTGATTGGTAAATCAAAAATTTATTTGTCATATGTCATGGATCTGATTGGGAGACCTATTCGATCTAACTTTGATTCAATAGCAGACATCTTATGACGAAATTAAGCATCATTCGATTAAATTGAAATGTAATTTGTCCAACTAAATTCCATTATAATTAAATTATATATTCAAATCCAATCGGATTTTTTTGATCTCATTTGTGGTTTCAAATTAGTTTAGATATGGTAAATGGGGATGATATACGACAAATAACAAAGCAGTTTCCAAAACCAAGTTTTTAAATAGGATTCGGATTCCAATCGACCAAAAACAAACTCAATTACAATATAAATATGATCAATTGACAAAATTAGTCAGAAAAAGGGATAGAGATAGCAGAGATTGGTGCATTATCTAATCAACGTCAAATGAAGCCTAGCTTTTCAAAGTTTGGTGTTAAACACCAACCACTCCGCCAAACCCTAAGATGTCTTTTCTAACTAAGTGACAACCACTCAATACTTTAGTAAAATTTTGAGTGATGACTGCTACCTAATTCCTTCCAGATAAACTTTAAAGTTCATGCTTACCATTTTAGTTTTTTAATTTGCAGATAAATAATCATGTGCAACCTCAAACCACTAACACCTCTATAAAGTCTTGCTGCTGATTAAAAAACTTCTTCCTACTGAAGTTTAAATGTGTCCTAGGAATACCATGAAAAAGGCTTGTATAAAACGTTTCTAGAACTTACCAATGATAAGTAAGTTATAGATGAAGGTGAAAATGCACTAAAATTATGTAGTTTGTAGACACGCACACAGACACACATATCTATATGCTTGAACAAAATCCAGATTTTATCTTGTAACCGTTAAAATCAACAGTTCAACAAATCACTGTAACTTTTTTTAAGTTATCACCAACTCAAAAATGAGAAGCTTCACCTCCTCTTTCACATCCCCCCTGTACATGAGGAGTGTCAAGAGTCTTTGCTTTACTCACTAATTGGGACACACACACACAAAAAAAAAATTCAATGTAAACTCTTTTTTTTTTCAATTTTTTTCTGACGTGGGATTGAGTTATTTCAATAAAACAAATTTTTTTCTTTTGTAAATAAAACTTTCTATTTTCACTAATAGTCAAACGATACACAAACACATATATAATTTCTCTTGAATATGCAAAACTTGGATTGAGCTTTTTTCCATTACTTTTTCACATAATTTCACTCAATGGTATATTACTCACTATGTATTCATGTGAGACTCATTATTTATATGTGGACTCCTCACTCATACACGATGTATAACTATCATTGAGTGAAATTATATATAAAAAAATAAATAAAGGAAAGGATAAAGATCCGCAAAACCCAATTATTCATCACAATAATTTCTCACAGTTGTAGCCAGCAAGCCATGTGGTTAGGATATGACTAACTTGTGTTTTTTCAGGATGTAATTATATTAATTAGTCAAAGGTTAGGACCGAAAAAAAAAAATTCAAAAAAATAATTATATTAGTTGTATTCCAAAAGAAAAAAAAGTTTGACAGTGAGACCAGAAACAAACATGGCGCTAACTATCATTAGTCCAACAAAACATGCATGCTAGGAAATAGAACCACCATGCATGATTTGCCTGGAGAATATTTTACAAGATTTAAGGACCCCACACAAATGGCTCATTACCCCCTGATTGCGGAGATTCTATGAAACTTCATCAGGATTATATATTACTGTAGTGGCTGCTCCTAATGAGTAAATATATTACCACAATACCATGTCAACATCGATATGTTTTATCACTCCCCCATAATAAAGTAATAATTGAAAAAAAAAATTTATTTATTTTTATATGGAGCAATTATTATTGTTAGATAGTGATTATCACATGACTATAATGTAGGGGAAAGTCTATGATATCGAGAAAAAAAATTTATATGTTACCAAAAATTTTTATTTTTAATGATAAGATTACAATTTTGAAATGTAACGTTACACTAGATTGAAAGAAGTTTATGATTGATCATTGGATTTCTTTGAAGATTGAACAGTTGTAACATTTCATTTATTAGTTGTCATTCAACCTTGAAAGTTTTCCAACTTGATGATTAGGTCTGATAGTACTCAAAAGTCTCAAATTAACACTAAGACTGCACAACAATACCACCATGATCAAACTATAGCTCAGCTCGGGGAGAAACTTTCCTACTACCGACCTTTTGCTTTGTTGACTATTGTGCTTACGTTGTAAGCAGATCTCTCTCTCTCTCTCTCTCTCTCTCTCTCTCACACACACACACACACACACAGATGAAGCTATCCTTCTGTATATAGTGGCTAGATCTTAGTTACATCACTTACATAAGCTCAGTTAAGAGGGTTTATAACTTATAAAGATCAGTTTTCTCTCGTCCAAGCAGAGAAGATAGAAATATGAAGCTTTCATTCTCTTTCTCCTTGGCAGTGATGATCACTGTTCTTTCAGTGTTTCTACTCCATGAATCAAATGCACAGTTGAACTCTACATTCTATTCTAATACATGCCCAAACGTTTCAAGCATTGTTCGTGGCGTTGTTCAACAAGCTTTGCAGTCTGATCCACGCATCGGTGCTAGCCTCATTCGACTTCACTTCCATGATTGCTTCGTCGATGTAAATGCATATTTTCCCAACCCTACCTCTCTTCCTATTTAAAAAGATTTTTTTTTGAACTTGTTACAGTTTCGAATCATAAAAACAGCCTAGCTCTATAGATGTGTAACAAATATAACTATATGTCTGTATAAATCTGACCCTTTTCAAATTCTGCAGTGAATGGAGTTTTTATTTTTTATTTTTTATTAATGAATCAACTAATGAACTATTTGGATCTGTTACTAGGGTTGTGATGCTTCAATTTTGCTGGACAACAGTGGAACCATACAGAGTGAGAAAGATGCAGGTCCCAACACCAACTCTACCCGGGGATTCGGCGTCGTTGACAACATCAAGACTGCCGTTGAGAATTCTTGCTCGGGGGTTGTCTCTTGTGCTGACATTCTCGCACTTGCTGCTGAATCTTCGGTTTCTTTGGTATATATATATGCTTCCACGATGAATTTTACTAGCAATTTTGCTTAGCTAGGCTCTCATCCACCTCCTTTAACGTCTAGAGTGTACAAAGACTATTTCAGTTTCTTGAAAAAAATAATACTAGACTAACTAAAAATAGGATAATAATTTAGATTATATGATGTGACATTATGATAATATCGTTTTTTTTATCTTTTTCATTTTTTGTATCGTTTTCCGTATCATTACTTTTTATTTATCCAAAGTACAAACTTTATTCAGCAGTCACACGTTATTTCAAAAAACTAGGATGTTCTCGGGAGTAATGCTCCGGGGCAGTGACAGCCAAGAAAAGTCAATCAATCCCATTTTTATATGGGTTTAGTATACGAATGGCCTCTAAACTTTAGTCTTAATATTCTTAACTAATGAAATTTACACATTGACAGAGTCTGATTCATGATAGTAACTGCTGGTTATAAAGTCCATGGAAGGATAAAAAAAAATTTATGTGGATCACAAAGTGTCCGTAATGAGCGGATCTAGATATTCTCTACTACATTTGCTCATTAATTCTCTTTTTGATAGATCATCTATCATTAATGAGTGAGATATTTATTTGTCTACAATGAATCCCATTTAAATGCATAATAAGTGATTTGTTAAGAAAAAAATTGAAGAGAAAGTATATTGAAAGTGATTGTGATGGACCGAGTAAATAAGTCAACTTTAAAGTGAATTTATTGTTCAAAGAGTGTGTTATGACCATGGCCGCTGGCTTGGTGGGGCCGACTCCTCCTTTGTGCATAAACTAAAAACCCGACTCTACGAACCCAACGAAGGAATAGGATCAATCTTTTGTGAACCCACAATCTGACCACAAAAACCTTCTTTCTCAATTACGATCTCAGCCCATGATCCCTTCACTTCACCATATGGGAGTCATCCTACCACGAAAACCAAGGATAAATTGACTCTGTAATAAGCACGAGTTGTTAACTAAACGATGTGAGTTTAATACAGTTACAGTCATAATAATTCTATTGTATCATGTCACTATCACATTATTAGATCAACTTTTTAGATTTCGATAGCATTACTCTTATTTTATGGAACCCTTATGTAAAATCCTGAATCTGAGTGAATTTGCACCTATATGGTATGGTTCTTTTAAATGTGTAGTCAGGTGGACCTTCATGGAGTGTGCTATTAGGGAGAAGGGACAGCCGGACAGCAAACCAAGGAGGAGCTAATACATCAATTCCCTCTCCCTTTGAAGGCTTAAGCTCAATCACTTCAAAGTTTTCTGCTGTGGGCCTTAACATCACTGATCTTGTTGCATTATCTGGTACAGTCACTTTCCTAGTTCATTTCAGTAAAAAAAAATTCTATAGGATGGATTTGTTGCATATTAAGGTATCCCATGTAAAACACAGTTAAAACGTTTACTACAGTTAAAAAGTTTGATGCAAATGGACAAATTTGCAGTAGTTATAAAAGGTTAAAATGTGAGTCTTAAACTTAAGGACAAGTTAACATGCTGAAAGCGGGTGAAGTGACCCATCTAAATGGGTCACTCACTCACTCTGACTAGTCCATGATTTATTAACTCTTACTGTTGGGAATGAGGAATGTTTTGTCTTTTCTTAGGTGCTCACACATTTGGACGTGCTCAATGTCGATTGTTCAGTAACCGCCTCTACAACTTCAACAACACCAACAACCCTGACCCGACCCTAAACTCGACATACTTGACTACCCTCCGACAAACATGTCCACAGAATGGGAGCGGATTCGCGTTGGCCAACCTTGATCCAACCACCGTGGATACATTTGACAATAACTATTTCTCTAACCTGCAAAACAATCAAGGCCTTCTGCAATCAGATCAAGAGCTGTTCTCAACAAATGGTGCTGCTACAGTCTCCATTGTTAACACCTTTAGCAGTAGCCAAAGTGCATTCTTCCAGAACTTTGTCGCTTCGATGATAAACATGGGAAATATTAGTCCATTGACAGGGAGTAATGGAGAGATTAGATCAGATTGCAAGAAGGTTAATGGAAGCTAGTAGCATTACTCTAGAAAAAATACACACAAGTAGTTTTATAAGTTGATTTGAGTTGTGGAAACAGTATTTCTCAGTATGTAAGAGTAAGACTCTTTACATCTGATCCTACAAAATAACCTCGCAATCGCAAAAGTCGCGTACGCTGGGCTACCTCTTATGTCATTCCAGTTATAAACTTCTTTATTGTGAAGTATGTCATGGTGAACAGGTTCAGAGCCTCAAAAGGCAAATAATGGGACCTTGATACCTGTGCTTTCTAAAATTTTTCGTAAATATTCAATGTCAATTTGTTTTGCAATTGTATTTCAGCAGGTTCCATTGGTTACTGTCACCACAGAGTTTCTTTTTGGTTTGATAATCGAAAATGTCCAACCAGGTGTTTTTTTGAACTCGTAATTACTACATAAATTAGAGATAAATGATGCCTCTTACAAAATTCGTTGTTCAGGTATGTCTTATGTGACTTGAAACTGGAAGCTCGAAACATTAACTCAAACACGCTATCACTCGAGTCACCCTGATGGATCATGCTTTTACACATCTAATTAACATGAGAGATTATGATAAGGAAGGTACTCTAATATTGTGACACAACGGATTGGATTTGGGTCCATTCGAATCAAAATTTGATTAAAAATTTCGTAATTGAATCTGACCTGTTTACTCGACAGATAAAATATATTAATCCATATCCAAATTCGTTTATAGTTAGACATCCGATCCTCCATAATGATATTCCACTAAAATTCTAAAAAATAATTTTTTTAGATCAAACACAAGTAATCAATATATATATACTAGTCATAACCCGTACCTGAAAGCACGATAAAATATAAAATTCGAGAGTTCAAAAAATTAATTCCACCATATTAAATTTTTTCAAAATATATTAACTATAAATTAATTAAATATTAAATGATTAAATATATGATAGAAATAAGTTGTGTGATTTTTAGGAAGGAATATATAAATGATTAAATAAGTGATGTGATTTGACGTTTGAGTTTGACAAAGAGATGATGAGTGAGGTAAGTGATTGATAATGGTTTTGAGGGAAAAAATATAACTGGGATAAAATTCAAACACACTCCTGTTTTATTATATAGATATATATGTACTTTGAATATATTCATATCTATTTGATTTAAAATATCTTAATATATTTAGATTGAATTTGAATTGAAATTCAGTCAATTGACAAACTTACTTTTAAACACAATCTACCAATTTTGACAAGAAATCACAATCATAGGGGATTTTTTTAATTAATAAACAGGTGGAGTATATGCCCGGTCAAGAAAATAGGTCGCCAGGAGTTCAACTAAAAAAAGACTTAAACAAAATAAAAAATTGACAAAACACAATTACAAACAATTTTGGAATTAAATAAATAAATTTTTACACCACAAATTATACAATGGGAGAATTACACTCAGACATCTTAATGTTTGTTATTTAATTACTTAGATTTCTTGATATTTGAAATATCACACAGACTCCCGAGGTTTGTCATTTAATTACTTAAACTCTTTGACATTTGAAATATTACAAAGACACTTGAGATTTGCACACGCGTAATACTTAGACCCTTGTCGCCAAATGTCCGTTGTTAAAAAATTACACCTAGATACTCTGAAGTTTGTAGGGGTATAATACTTAGACCATTCAAATTTAAAATGTTATATTTAAATTAAAAAGATTTCAATCAAAGATAAATATCAAATATTTTAAATTTTAAAATAAAAATTTATGTTATATTATATCATTTATTGAAATAAAATCAAAAATAAAAATTCATTTTTTTTCTTAAAAAATTATAATTAGTATATAATTATACTATCTATTGGAATAAAACTAAATAAATCACAACAAGGGGTTAAACTGTAATTAATACAATATATTTTAGGGTTAATTATAAATTACACCCTGAAAGATCGTTTGAATATCAATTTGTATCCTCAAAGATCAAAAATTTTGATTTGCACCTTTAAAGATAGAAATTTGTATTAATATGCACCCTCAAAGGTCAAAAATCTCAATTTATACCCTCAAAGATAGAAATTTGTATCAATATGCACCTAAAACTAACCGCCGTCAGTTTGCTGCCTAAAATTAAATTGATAAATTATATTTAAATCCTTTCATGTTTGTCACTTAATCATTTGGATCCCTTCACAAAATAAAAGGTAATATAAAATTATAATTTTTTATTAGAATAAAATCATATATTTTAACGGCTAGAAAATTCTAATAAAAATACTCTCAATCTAAAATATTTCCCCAATTAGGCATTCAAATAATTTGAAGAATCTTTCGGGGTGTAATTTATAATTAATCCTATATTCTAACTTTAATTGTGATAATTTAATAGTTTAATTTAATTATTTAAACTACTAAATTAAATTTCAATAGATAGTATAATTGTATACTAATTACGATATTTTAAGAAAAATTTATTTATTTTTAATTTTATTTTAATAAATGTTATAAAAGAATATAAATTTTAATTATAAAATTTAAAATATTTAAATATACTACAAACATTGTTACACACTTAAAAATTTTAGAAGACTGTGTGTAATATTTTAAATATTAAAAATCTGACTAATTAAAAAAAAATGAATAAAATTTTCCTATACAATTCTAATTTCTAGGGTCCACTCAATGTCGGTTTCTTTTTCTTATTATAGTTGTATGGGTGATACGGCAACTAAGCTATTTTTGAGCAGCCATGGCAACTAAGCCGATCTAGCACAAAAAGGTTAGAAAAACACAATTCAGACACACTATCAGCTCAAAATCTTGTTAAGGTACTCTCTCTCTCTCTCTCTCTCTCTGTTTATGGATCTGTAGATTGTTGTGTTTCTGTTTCTTTGACCAGCAAAATCCTAGATTGATTATTGTTATAGATTAGAATTCTAAACTTTGGGTTTTAATTTGGTTGACGAACAATATATTGTAGCTTATTTCTTCGGTTGACCTGAGTAAATTAGGGTTTGATTTGTTTGATCATATGTGAATTGGTGTTTTCGTTGAGTTTAACGAATGAAATGTGGTTCTTGGTTTGTTTGACAGACTAATATTAGGGTTTTATTCAATTTCCCGAAAGGAAGGAACAAACTTGTTCTTTTTGATCAAATAAAATTGGGGTGTCTATCCAAATTCTCTAGAATTAATCGGTGTTGTCGATTTGTTTATCCAGAAGACACAAAAAAGTTGGAGGTTTGATTTGGGGATTGGTCAATTTATTATGGGGGATAACTATGAGACACCAAATATTGTGAATCTTGATTTGAATGTGAGACCAGATGTTCAGTCTTCACCTGAAAATGAGCCGGGACCAGAATTGTTGTCCCATGTGTCAATGAACTTGGAGGACTTTTTAGATGGGCCTGTTCATAGACTTAGAGATGCTGGTAGACAGAGGAGGCAACGGTGGCGATCACTTCGGAGACAAATTTTTGTTCCACCTGAAACAAGGAACATGGCTATGGAAGTGTGGATGGGAATGCAAATCGGTGAGGGTAGTGTTGCTGCTGAGGAAAGGCCTACTGAGGCTGCCAAAGTGTGTGATGATAATAATCTGTTGGAACGTGAGGCCTTGGGAAAGAAGGAAGATGATCAAAGGGGTAATGGCAATGAGGGTAGCTTTTTTGATTGTAGTATATGCTTGGACTTGGCTAGGGACCCAGTTGTGACTTGCTGTGGTCACTTGTTTTGTTGGCCTTGCATTTACCGATGGTTACATGTTCACTCAGATGCCAAAGAATGTCCTGTTTGCAAGGGAGCGGTGACAATTAAAAATGTGACTCCGATTTATGGCCGTGCGAATAATTCGCATGAGCCAGAGCTGGATTCGAACACTAAGATTCCTCATAGGCCGCAAGCACGGAGGGTCGAGAGCTGGAGGGAAACTATTCAAAGGGCTGGTTCCACTGTTCCAATGGAGGAAATGATTCGACATCTTGGCAGAAGATTTGATTGGACCCAGGATTTGATGCAAGTTGAGCCTCAGAATCCTGATGGTCCCTTAGAATCACCAGAGAGAAGTAGCTCATTTGTCAACCGGTATCTGACTACTAGAGGAATGCACGGAGAACAGAATATGGCTGTCCCACCTGACGATCTAGTTGACTTAACCCAAAGCAATCCTACTAATTTTGGGATGGGAGAAAATCGCAGTCTTTCATCCCCTTTGTATCGAAGACCACATTTACATAGATCTCCTGCTGTCTCTAACCTTGTTGCACTGAGTTCTGATGAAAGGTTAACTTTGCCGTATCTCCATGCTAGTCTTTTAGGAAGAAATCAAGAGCAGCCTCCACCTACTGATAATAGAGAGAGTCTGTCAAGCATCGCGGCTGTTATTCTCTCAGAGATTCAAACATTAGATACTGCTGGTGAAATAGATTCTAGATTGTCATTTTCTACTTCATCACCCAGAAGAAGAAATGATTCTTTGAGGGTTTCGGAGGGGGACAGTGTAGATTCTCGTGCACCTAGGAGAAGGAGATTTAACTGAATTCAGCTCCCACCCTTTATTTTCACACTTCATTTTCACTTAAAGTTGCAATTCCCACTGCCTTCTGAAGCGAAGATTGCCTTTGTATATAAGCTTCATTCTGGAAAGATTTCAAGGTTGATACAGTGATTGATCATGAGGTATTTTATAACATCTTTATGTTTTGCTGCTTACGGAATGCCATTTGTTATACTTCTTGTGCTTCTTTAATTGGTTCATGCTTTCAATTTGTAAGTCAAATCAATTTCATATTGGAGCTATGAGGCCAACTTTCTAGTTGCCTCTATAAATGATAACTCTGCAAGCTTCAGCTATGTTTGTATATTGGTCGTTCCCTCAATGATTTTTGAGTTAGTATTTACCTATGAAATTTCAATTTTGTCTTTCTGACTGGTTTCATTCTTAAGAGCATTTTGGTTGAATATTTGCATTGTTTGCCTCTGAGAGAAAGAAAATACCGAGAAGGTGGCATCAAAATTCAAAGAGCTAAAAATTTTCATCTTATTGTAATTTTATTTACCTACTAGGTGGGCCTATTTTGTTCGCAAAGGCATGGATTCTTATGCAATTGTGATCTGTATTGCCAATCATACAAAATCTATTGCTTTAGTTTTAATCCTCTGTGTGCTAATAAAATTGAAATGCTTTTATAACTATCTTTGCTTCATATGCTACCCAATTCTCCAAAGCCAATCATTTCTGCTTCTACTTGATAAAACAATCACTCTTGTGATTCCAATTAAATTTGAGAGAGGGCTGACTAAACAATGCACTTGATATATTCCTTGAAAGTACTTCATCTTTACTCCATCTTCTTCATCTTTTTCCCTTCTCACAATTTAATGACAGTTTTCATTATTCTTATATTTTGCAATTGCAGTCATAAGCTATAGGGGAGGGATCCACCTGCATATATCCTTCATATACATATTGTTTTGTACCTGAAGTATCAGTATAATGAAAAATATTGGATTTTTTTTTTTGATTATTTCAAAAACCTATATTTATCACCACACAATTGCTCTATTTTTGTTATGCATGCTATCCAATCTTTACTAATATATTTGGCCCTTCTAACTGCTTATCCCATTTCACTATGATTCTTTGTTCTTATAAATTTACCTGAAAGTGTTTTAATATTTATAATAAATTTGATGAAACCTCCTAAATTTGTTGGACAGATTGAGATTGCTGACTGTCTGTCTTTGTTATGGCTTATATCACAAGACTTCGATTAATGGTGTCTATGGGTGTCAACCATAAGTTTGATTATATCGCGTTCAATTCGATCTGGGTGATAAAAAGTTTGATAAACAATTTGTATATCTTGATTTTTGTGACAATACGTTCAATAATTGCAGTTATAAACTTGCAAAACATTCTATCTTTTTCCCCACGTACCGAAGGGAAAATTTTATCAATTATTTACAGAGAAGCCTTAATTGGTAAATTTATTTTTATCTTTTTAAACTTTTTCAAAAAAAATATATTTTTTGTTATTAGCGTCCAACCTATTTTTTATTTCTGTATAATTTCTGGACTAATGGGCTGGACCGCAGGGTTACACAATGAGCAACCTTCGTGAATCTTTGCAATAGTGAATAGGGAAATACAGTAGTGCTCCTTGAAAAAGTACACAGTATATCACTAATAACTACGGATAGCACTACGGTATTAATTATTTTTTTTTTTCAGTGCAGCATTAAAAGTTTTTACTTTTAAATATGAAATTATTATGTTAAAAATAACTAGGGTAATTCATAAACTTTCATTATAAATCGCACTATTTTGAGGGTGATTGGGTTTTTTATATTTACAATTTATAATTTAATGTTAAAAAATTATAATAAATTTTAATACGACAGTACCATAATCTTTTTCAATAACTATTGGACTGTATCCTAATCATCACATTACTGCATTATTTTTGGGGCTTTGTCCCTTCTTTAGCCAACATTAAACGGCATCCCAAGCTGAGGAAAGTGGAAGCCATTCAATTCATTCATTAATGATAATGATTAGAAGAGGGAAGAAAAGCATGGCAAATACCTAATCATATTGTCTGGAGAAGCAAAACAATTCTTCCATTGCTGGATATTTTGCCCGGAAAGCTGTCTTTTTCTGATTATATTTGTGATTATTTTTATTATATTTATGAGTATAAGTATGACATTTATCTGACCTTTTCACCTCCCCTAGGTGTAGGTGTGTATTTTATAAGTACAAAAAGCCACCCCACGCCTGTGGACCGCCTCTCCCTTCTTTCTCAAACACCGAATCTAATTTGACGAGGGAAGGCCTTATTCATCTCACAATTTTGAATTAACTAACTAAATAATTGCTTTCAACTTTTATTATTATTTTTGTTAGGCGGGACTATTCTCACCAAATAAATCTTTATTATCAACTTATTAAATTCCTTAATATTAAATTATTAATTCTATCTCATTTTATAATCTTTTCATTAATAACTAAAATTATTTTGTTGTATATTTATCTCATTAATATTCAAGTTCACCTAATCTTTACTATCGTGAACACCATTAACCAATAACCCACCATTGTCGTCACCGACGCCGTTGATGTCACCAAGTTAATAATTAGAGAATGCTATTCGTTTTAAACTAACGAATATTTCTTCTTGATTTGTAAGTTCCTTATTAAATCATTGAGTGTGTGGCCGTAATTCCTTAATTTTTATTGCTTGATTCAATGCTTTATTTTTTTTAATTGATCCATCTCAAATAAAATAATTAAAAAATTTAAGGTTAGAAGGAAGATGAAAGTGTATGATCGTGGTGTTGATGTGTTGACGGCGGTGGCAGTGGTAAAATTGTGATGGTGGCAATATTTTTCTTTTGTTTTCATCTCACACAAAAAATTAAAAATAAATTAATTTTTTTTAAAAATAATACTAAAAATAAAAAAGACTTCTATTTAATATTTCCGTTTTAAGTCTCAAGTTGGCTTTAGCCACCCCTGATGGTGGATGTTCCGGGGGTGATGTTCTGATATTTACAATGGTGTGTTTTGAGTATTTATTTATGGGTTAAGGGGTGTTGAGTTAAATCACTAGCATCGAAGATATATGATGAAGTATGAGTAGATTAGAATAAATTTAATTATTAATTTGTTTTTATTATTACTTAAATTATCTTTGAAATTAATCACATTAATTTTATCCATAGCACGAAATGAGCATTAATAATAATAATGTGTATGTAGCAGACTCATTGGATACCCAGGTATGTGCTTTTTTGATACCTGCAAGGATTATGAAAAGTATGAGAAATGATTGTGAAAAGCAGCCTTGAGTATTGTCAATTAAAGATTTTTGGGGGTGGCCTTAACTAGTGGGGCCTTGATTTCTGATTTTGTCATAATAGACTTGTCTCAGTCAAAATTAATGTTGTTTTAGTTAAATTATGGTTTTGTGATAGTTTCAATGATTGAAATTCTTTATTGGAAACTTAACGAAAAATCACACATGAATACTCATCAAAAAGACTTTTCTTGGAATTAATAGGTGTGAACTTGACTACGTTACCCTATATGAAAATTTTAGTATTATATTTCTAAAATTTATTATTTTTATGAGTATTTTTATAACAAAAAAGATATTATTTTTATGGGTAATTTATTATTTTGTGGCTTTTTTTTATCACTATTGTGATAATTATATTTATTATTTTTCTTTGCTAAAGTAATTATCACTTTTTTTCGTTATAAAAGAATTGGCTGATTTATTATATTTATAGATACTTTTATCATTATTATGAATATTTCTACCATTTAATAATAACTCTTTTTATCCATATTATTATTAATAATAATAATAATAAAAATACTCATATTATGGTAAATATTGATACAACATTCAAAAAAAATTTGTGGGTACCGTACTACTAATAGGTGTGGTCTGTTTGTCTCCATTAGGCAAAACATCTAGTTGGGGGTAGTTATGGTCAAATCTCGTGGTCAACAGACCAGAATTGTTCGCCCGTCACGCTTTGTTCCAAAATTGTGTGCTTCAATCAAGACCAACCAAATTGCTGTTTAAAAAGAGTCGAAGTTGGCGGGTGTAATAATTGGTTGGTGAGTCTGCCGCCAGTTCAACTGAATCGATCTCTGCGAGTTGGAGCTCAATTTATCTAATTCGTTATTTTAAAAAAATTATTAAATTTTAATTTATTTAAAAAGTGCGTTGAATCTGAATTGAATTTAAAATAAGTTATCGATTATTTTATATATAAATAAATTAAACTCAAATAACTTGACTCAATTAGGATTAAATTGACATTTTCTCTAATAGTATTGAATTGAGCTAATGATTGTGCTCATTCACAATATATATGATATCCTTATATTATGTCCTAATATGATTAGTAACAAATTAAGCAATACTATCTTTACTTGGACAAATCAGTCTTAAGACTCTCTCTCTCTCTCTCTCGTATGATTACCAACTATGAACCGTTGTATGTTTATATAGATTCACGTGCGAGTGAAGCTGAAGAACTTTTGAAAGTTCAGGGGTGGTGTGTGTGTGTGTGTGTGTTTATACCAAATTGTATAGTATGAATGGTGGACCTTTGAATAGTAGCAGCTTCCTTTATAATCCTCATATCTTCTCAGTTCAAACAAAATCTGTAGTCTCTTTTGCTTTGTTCTGGCTGTGACCTTTTTTGAGTTTACCATGGAGTTATCTCTGAGTTTGGGTGACACGCCAAAGCCCTTCATATTTCTTGACAAGTCTCAGAAGATGGTTAACAAAGATTTAGGGTTTTGCATGGCCACCTTAGGGCCTCTGATAATTAATGGAAGATCAGAAGACAAAGGAGATGCAGGTCAGAGTCATCGTCACAGTAAGACACAAAGGATCATCAGAGAGGAGGAAGACGAAAGAAGAGGCTCTTCAGATCATCCACTTGTTCATCTTGATCTCTTCCCTTTTTCTCCAGTTCTACGCAATCAACTACCTTCACAGCTTCGATTTCCATTGCTGACACAAAACTGTATTGCCCTCAACTTCACATTATTACACTTTACTTGGTCCTATTTTTTTTTTTTCTGATTTCTGTCATATTTTCACTGTTGATAGAAGTTTTTTTATTAGGGTTTTGGTGATTCTTATCCCATTTTTACAACTACTGTACTACCATTCACCAAACCATGTCCTTGGTTGTCCTATATCTTCTGGTTTAACGTCTTTACAACAATTTTTTTGAAGCTTAAGATTAGAATACAATGGTCTTGCCAATGATTTAAAATAATCCGACAGGATAGCTCTAGTGATAACACGTAAGTTGAGCAAAACATTCTTTATTGTTGAACTAAAAGAAATAATTTAAAATTTATTTTGAAACGGTTGAGATCATAATTTTTATATTTTAAATTGTTTTGAGTTGTTTCCGAATATTTCACTGTTCTAAAATGTTTTTGGGCTTTTTGTCAATTCGTTTGATTTGTGGGGCTGGATAGTATCCTTGTTTAGGTGATTTTGTGGGTTGATGTCTCTTGGTCATTGGGTTTGATTTTGTGGGTTCTTTTCTTTATTACAGTGATTTCTGAACCAGGTTCATCCAATGGACCAGGAAAACCAGTGGAAGTGAACCGGCAACCATTGACGGCGGAGGAGGCTGAGGATGGGGCGGCGACGCTGTCGTCCCCAAACAGTACAGTCATCCCATTTCAGATGGATTTTTCAATGTACGGAAGTAGAAGAAGCAAGAGAGATTTGGAAGCAACACTAACTGAAGTTGAGGCGGAGAGAGGTATTTGTTCAAGAGGAATTGATGAGGAAGAGAATGGTTTGCCGAGGAAAAAACTCAGGCTCACTAAAGAACAGTCTGCTTTTCTTGAAGAGATCTTCAAGGAACACCACACCCTCAATCCTGTAAGTCAAAGATTTAGAGAGAGAAAGCTGGATACTAATAAAACAAACAGTGATCCTCCAACATTTTTCACATAATTAAGTACAAATAACACTATTTTTTGACGTGGAAAAGATTATAAATACTTTTCAAAATCATATCAAAGTTTACTACAAAATAAGAATAAGATTTTAAGAAAATAAGGTGCATGGCATTTACCTTAATGATTCTAATATTTTATTTTTTTTGCCGTACCTTAAATTTTTATTACTGTAGCTTGACTTAAGTTGAGTTGGACCGTCATAAGATGAGTCGAAATCTCAATTTTTTTGGTTTTTGTGATGTTCTATACGGTACTAAATTCGATACCGTACTTGTTTGTCTCTCGGAGGGGTACTTTGAATGTTGTGTCCTGAGTTGTTGGTTTTTTTGGTGTGTTCTTGTAAGTGTTTTGTGACCATGGACACAACTATCACGAAAAGAAAAAAAAAATTTGTCTTAAAAGATTCTTAGTCTATAGTGACCTCTATATGTATTGATACATTTTTTTTCCATGAAAATCACAGAAACAAAAGCTAGTTCTGGCAAAACAGTTGAATCTTCGTCCTCGCCAAGTTGAAGTGTGGTTTCAAAACAGAAGAGCAAGGTATACATTTAGTAATGTTTAGCTTCATCATCTTTGTTAATATGATTATCCAACAACTCCCCTATGCAAGACATTTTTATTCAAAACCCCCATGCTACAAGCGAAATAATTGTATGGAATTTAGCCGCATTTTGATATTATGTATCTTGGAATTTGAATAAAAAAAGTTTGAAGTATAAAAAATCTATTATATCGAGTCCCAAAGGTACCGAAAATATTTGAAACAATAAGGAACATTGAGGTTAAGCTATAATTTAAACAAATTGATGTTACAATTCAATGAGATTCAACATTTTTGGGATTAATTCTAAAATTTTGGTTCATCTGAGTTTTTTTAATCAAACTCGATTCATAATTTCACATTTTTTGAGTCATAACTCAACTTCGTGGTCATAATTATTTGCTTGTACTGTTAAAACAATAATTTGACGACACAAAAAACTTGTAGGACAAAGTTGAAGCAGACAGAGATAGACTGTGAGTATCTAAAGAGATGCTGTGACACACTGGCAGAAGAGAATAGGAGGTTGAAAAAGGAGCTTCAAGAGTTGAGAGCTTTGAAGACTTCCCAACCTTTATACACGCAGCTTCCAGCCACCACTCTCACAATGTGTCCCTCTTGTGAACGCGTGGCCTCCTCCACCACCACTACCATTACCACCGCTAGCGTCACTGCTGCCACTAACACCAATCCATCATTGGCACTTGCTAAACCTAGAATATATCCATCATCACATGCCCAAGTCTATGCTCAACAGGCTGCTTCATGCGTGTAACCTTCAAACTACTTGCCCACAAAAGAAAATTTGAGTTTAGCCTAATACTAAAATGTAGTTTTTTTCCTGTTGGCATGCATGTGTAAATATTTTTGGTTCTGGTGTCAGTTTTATAATTATTTCATTCCTTTTGGTGATATTTTTGAGCCATGGTTGGTTGACAATGGAGTTTGGATGGAAAGAAATAGAGAGTGTTAATTTTGCAGAGATTTAGGAAGAGATTTTGATTATAAGTTTACTGTTATGGTTTTCTCCTTTGAAGGGGAAATTTTGATTGCTATCTCAGTTATCTAGTCTTATATTTTGTATTGAATCATATGGATTAAAGAGTTATTTTCTCTCTAATTGTTTCTTCTTTTATGACATTTTTAATTTAGTATGCAAAATCTAAGACTGCTAAAAATTGTGAATAATAATCATTGTATCTGTACCAGAGCAATGTTAACTTGGATCTAAATTGACAACAAATTTAGACAAAATGGCCAAGTTCAGGGGTTAAATTGATACAAAGTATAATTCAAGGCATTGATTAATACAAACGGTACAATTCATGGGTCAAATAAATAGTTAAATCTTTATTTATTTTTATTTTTTAGGTTTTTTTGGTCTATGTTACAGAAATACGAAATCACCCCTAAATTAGCCATTTGAATGACTTGTGAGAACATCTTCAACCATCACTCAAATTTAGAATACTCCAATAAATAAATTCAAATATATACTCAATTTTTTAAAAATATTCTCTTACTGTCTTAAAGTTCATTTTTTTTAATTTTTTTCTTGCCAAACATTTTATCAAATATTAAAACTTATTTCTTACAAACTTCAAGAATACTAACCTCTTTGAGTTGTAGATTCATAAGTTTTTTACTGAGGATGAGAGACGAGAGAAATTTTTTGAAAATGAAAGTTTATGAGAGAGAAAAAGGGTAAAAAGAGAGATTGAGTGAGAGAAAAAAAAGACAGTAAAAGGTTATTGTTGAAAAATAGAGGTAGGAATAGACGGTGTGGTCGGCAGCAATGGCAACAACTTTGATGATAGAGTTAAGAAAGGCAAGAAATTATTCCGTCGAAAGAGTCTTTTGAGTTTAGATAAGATAAAAAATTATTGTTGAAAATTTGATGTAGTATTTAAATCTCCCTCAATTTAGGTCCATAATAAGTATTTTCTTGATTTGGTATAAATTTAGGTCTAAGTTTAAAGAAATTTTTTAGGTTATTTTGATTCAAATTTAAATTAATTATAAATTTGAGTCAAAATTGAAAATGTTACGAAGAATTATTCCCACATTAAAAAAAAATGTTTTCGCGAAATAGCAGTTGGGTCCTTCTTGTGTACGGGTCATGCATGAAATGGGCCCGTTTCAAACCACAAACCAGTGGGCCAGAGGGAGAGGCAGAGCACGACACTGGAGTCGTACATATGCCTAGCACAATGGATGTTTTTTTGTCCAGCCGCACCAAGCCCATAGATAGATGGGCCCAGCCCGTTTTACATCTGAAATCCTGGAAAAAGAAAGTCTGCTAGAGCAAAATATATTTAAATATTATATTCTCTATTTTATCTAGTTATCTTTTTAAATTCACTTCAATTACACTCTCTATTTTAACTAACTACTTCAACTAATATTCAATAATATAATTCAAAAGTACCCCATAGCCTAATAATATAATTTAAAATTTTTACAAATATTTGCATTAATATTTTATAGGGTCTAAAATTAAATATTTTATTATACAAGTGAATTTTCTATATTTGGGGGAAGGGGTTTTCAGAATTTGGGTTTTAGAGAAGAGAGTTTTTAGAATGGGTTTGGGGGAAGTAGAGGGAGGTGAGTTTCAAAATTGGGGGAGATGAAGAAGATTACCTGGACCAACCCTTGGAGAAGACGATAAAGACAGAGGCTAGCAACAATAAAGAGCAGCATGAGGAGGGGAAGATGAATACCTAGTTCACAGTTGAAAAACTTCTGTACGTAGCAGCAGCAAGTGGTGAGCAATTTCTCCTCTCCAGATCTGACAAGCAAATTTGGCTTCTTAGATTTTTACTAGGTGGATGGCTAGTGGATTGAAGCTGAATTTTTTAGTGTTGCTAGCCAAAATAGCTAAAAGGGAGAAATAGTCAGCAGTGTTGAAGTTGTTCTTAGCCACCAAATTTCAAGAAATTCAAAATATTTCAAAACAATTAATCTGCATAGAGCAAAAATACCCGCATTAATCATTTTTTTTTCTCTAGGTCAATCACTAATTCAAGTAGGAAAATGACGATATTCAAACCCGCGACTTTAAGATTTAACAACGGGGAGTGTGGTAATTAAGTCTACTACTAACCTTATCATTAAGCATTTTAGTTTTGGTTTATTGGTCAGGGATGTTTAAATCAGTTTATGTCTAATTCAATTAATGTCTTCCTCGTCAAAGGTAGGTTATTCATGTTAGAATTAAAGTATTCATAAAGAATAAATCTATCATTGTCTGACCTTAAGAGGTTACCAAGATTTAAACTTATGACGTGTTATACATTTTAGTTAATAAAGAAGGTTGTGGTACCCTTAGGTGTGCTATGAATAAAAACAAGATGTAAGGATCAATAAAGTTTGAGTAAACGTTTGAATGATCCAAACCAATAGGGAACACACTAAGCCGGCCAAAATCAACAAGAGAAAACGTAATTCTTAGTACTAAGGAAAAGTGTTGCTTAAGATGATACCAAAAATAGGCAAGACGGTTAGGTTCATCTAGTCTAGTCACCATGGCTGATAAGGCCAACAGATAGAAGCCAACCTGAGGCTGACCAAGACACGTATGCAAGTCTTCTACACCGATCAAGACTAGGGGGCAAACAGAGAATTTCATCAGAAAACTCTATCTTGGGCAGACGGTCACTACTCCTAGAAATACACGTCATATTTTGGATAAAAAGCCCCTCAACAACTAAATATTTCTTGATAAATTTGTTATAAAAATAATGAAAGAGTGTAGAAAGTGATGAGCTAATACATTGTCTCTAAGAAAAATCCACCTGTGCATCTTCTTCTTCTTCCTCAAGCAATACGCACACCCCAAGAGTCAGGGTCTCCATTAGATAATAGATTACTACTTAAATCTTTACATATTCTCTATTCAATTTGGTCACTCATTACACTTAATTAACAACTCCATCATAGTGTTTCTCGATTTTTTACACCATTGAAAAGAATATGTCAAATGGACATTTCCACAACTAGGGTCATTTCCGTACTAGATTTTAAAATTTTTTCAATTGGGAATCAATGTTGATTTTTCGCCGATACATTATGGGTGATTAAGGGAGAGAAAAAACAAGTATGACATACTATATTCGCGTGAATCCTCCACACAATAATAAAACTTGAAAATACAAAGTGAGGGAGCCAAATAAATAACTTTGTTCAAAATTTTAGAACCTTTTTTTTTTTTGGGGGGGGGATGGCAAATAAAAACTACATAAACTATAAATATCAAAATTCAAATAAACTTATTTTTTACAAACTTCACTAATATTAACCAAAAGAAAAAACAAGAATATTAATATCTGAATGATAGATTCGTAAGTTTTTTTACCAAGTATGAGAGACGAGAAATTTTTTTTGAGAATGAGAGTTTATGAGAGAGAAAAATATAAAGTAAAAAGTTATAGTCAAAAAATATAGGTAGGGATAGGCGGTGTGGACGGCAGCGATGACACAACGATTTTGAAAATAGAAGTAATAAAGGCAAGAACTTATTCGGTTGAAAGAGTCTTTTAAGTTTGGATAAGATAAAAAGTTACTTTTGAGAATTTGATATAGGATTTGAGTCTCTCTTAATTTAGGTTTAGAATAAGTTTTTCCTTATTTTGGTATAAATTTAGGTCTATGGTTAAAGAAGTTTTTTAGGTTATTTTGATTCAAATTTAAATTAATTATTGGTCCTTCTTGTGTCCGGGTCATGCATGGAATGGACCCGTTCCAGACCATAAACTTTTGGGCCATAAACTTTAGATCTATGATTGTTTTTGTGTCCAGCCGTACCAAGCCCATAGATAGATGGGCCCTGCCCATATCTGTCCAGCCCGTTTTACATCTCAAATTGTGGAAAATAATAGGAGTGTAACTCGAATGGGTTGGACAGTCAACACTAAGTATATAATTTTCAATTCTAACCTTAATCTTAATCCTATCTCGGGTTGAAGAACTCAATCCGAGCACTGTCCTAATTTAATTCGGACAGGTTCGAGTTAAATTCGGATTAATAATTTCGAATTATTTTATGGGTTCAATTCGGGTAGAACCCACAATAGGTTTGTTGTTCTAAACTTAATATATATATTACATAATATTCACATAAATTAACAACCAATAACTTCAACTAAGTTTTTAACATGAAAACCATAATCAAAACATAAAAATCATTGCCACCGGTCCACTGCGAGAGAGATAGAGAAAGCGGGGATAATTACAAATTCATAAAACATAATACATCTATTTCATTCATAACAGTGCACGATTATTGATCATCTGCTTTCACATCAAAAATAAAAAATCAGTGCTAGTGCTTTCTATATATATATATATATATATATATAATTTTTTTTCTAATTTGTCGGGTTTGGGTTTAACCTGTGAACTCGAGACCTTAACTCAAGCCCAACCCAAATTGAATTCGGGTTGGGGTTTTTGACAAGCTCAACCCAAGTATTAAAAATCCTTACCTAAGTCTTAATTTTTTCGAGTTGAGTTCGAGTTGAAATCGGGTTACCTAACCCAAGTTGCACCCCTAAAAAATAAGGTCTCTTATCCACAAAGTTTCAAAAAATTCAAATTATTTCAAAATAATTAATCTGCATAGAACAAAAACACCCGCATTAAGCATTTTTTTTTTGGGTCAATCACTACTGCAAGTAGGAGAACGACGAGATTCAAATTTGTGACTTTAAGAATTAACAACAAGGGGTGTGGTAATTAAGCCAACTACTAATCTTGTCATTAAGCATTTTAGTTTTTTTTTTTTGCTTCAGTGGTCATGGGTATCCGGACCAGTTTATGCCTAACTCAATTAATCCCCTCCTCGTTAAAGGTAGGTCATCCATGTTAGAAGTAAGGTATTCATAAGGTATAAATTCATCATTGTCTAATTTTAAGAGATTATCAACATTTAAAGTTATGACATGTTAAACATTTTAGTTGATAAAGAAGGTTGTACTACGCTTAGGTGTGCTGTGAATAGAAACAAGATGTAAGGACCAATAAAGTTTGAGTAAACGTTTGAATGATCCAAACAAATAGGGAACACACTAAGCCGGCCAAAATCAACAAGAGAAAACGTAATTCTTAGTACCAAGGAAAGTGTTGCTTAAGATGATACCAAAAATAGGCAAGACGGTTAGGTTCATCTAGTCTAGACACCATGGCAGATAAGGCCAACAGATAGAAGCCAACCTCAGGCTGACCAAGACACGTATGCAAGTCTTCTACACCGATCAAGGCTAGGGGGGCAAACAGAGAATTTCATCAGAAAACTCCATCTTGGGCAGACGGTGACTACTTCTTGAATTAGAGCATCTCCAACAGGCTCGTTAAAGAGCCTCGTTTAACTATTTTATATAGTTTTTCTCTTAAATTTGACTCCAAAATACTAGTTATTTGACTATCTAAAATAGATATCTCCCTTTTCGGTCACTGATTGTAACTAGTCCTCTTCTCTCTCACTGGCGCCAAGTTCCTCTCCACTATCTCTCTCAATGTCTCACTGAAGCTCAAAAGTACAAAAGCTCCGCAGCACCCTGCTCCACAAATCCATTCCAACTGAAGCTCCACCGGTATGGTCTTTTTCTCTCTCTCAATTTGATTTCATTTGGGTTTCCATCTTTGTTGTTTGTTGTGAGTCTTCTGTCCTGAGTTGGGAAAGCTTTGTGGATCTGGTCCGATTTGAAAAAGCTTTGTGGATTTGTTTATAACTCTTTTTTTTTAATTTAAACGAGACTGGTCTAGTGTTATGAATTTGTATGCCAAATGTAGGCTGGTTGATGAAGTGTGTAAGATGTTTGATGCCCGAAAGGGATTTAGTTTGTTGGAATACTGTAATTGCCGGCTATGCACAAAATGGGTTGGCCAAGATAGCGTTGGAATTGATTGTGCGAATACAAGAGGAGGGTCATAGGCCTGAAATGGTTACCCTTGTCTCCATTTTGCATGCATATGCTAATATTGGAAATTTAAGGATTGGAAAATCTATTCATGGATATGTTATACGAGCTGAATTTGGTTAAAGCACAAAATGAAGTTCCAGAATTTTTAAAATTTAGTGAACTTTGGACTCTGAATAACTTAATCACTTCACATGATCACTTTGTTGTTGAATCATGTGGAAATGGAGTTTTGCATTTTCAATTGTGGCTACAATAAAAGAGTATGTTCTCTTGTTTGTTGTTTTTTGGTTTTCTGATTCAAAGGAATATAGATAAACAATCTTCTGGATAAATATTTACCAAAAAAGTTGTTTACTCATTTTTTTACATCTTTACTTCTTGGTTGCTTGGCAAATTTACATGTGCAACTCATTTTAATTGCTAAGTATTTTTCTCCTCTTTCAATTAAGCATTTTTTTTTTCAGCTCTCAGGATCCTCTGGTTTTTTGCAGAATACACATGGGTCTGTGGGTTGTTTCATTTTAGATTTTTCTAGGTCATATATTTCTCCACTAAAGATTAAATCACATTCAATCTTCTCAGGACATGTGCTAATGAACACACCATTTATTAGTGACTTCCATCATATAATAGGTAGATATAACCACTTTTTTTTTTGTGTATCCTATAAATTTAAGGATTGGAAAATCTATTCATGGATATTCACAACTTAATTGATCAATTAGGACTTGGTTAGGATGTTTCAGTAATAAACTCTATGATTTCCATGTATAGAAAGTGGAGAAGAGTTGAAATTGAATGACTTTTTTTTTTTTTTTTGGAGTTGTTGAATGTGCAGTTATATATATTGTAGACATGTACTAAGATCATACTCGCTAAGAATCATATTCATTGCATGATAGCGAGCCATAATATAAACACAAAGAAGAGTGCAATGCTAATAAATAGATTTGAGTTGTATGACAATGAGAGATGAAAAATTCTATTTATACATATCTAAAAATATGACCGTTATAAATATGACCATTAAAAAACTCAAATTTTAAAATTTTGAATTTCGTAACTGTTGTAAATATGACCATTATCAATAAAAATATTTTAAATTTTAAAATTTTGATGGCGTGGCGTAACACGTCAGAATGTGATGTCATCAATATGGTGATGACATGACATATTGCATAGTATTTTATATTTTATTATTGAAATTTAGTTTAAAGTTAATTGAAGTGATTAACTAAAATAGATAGTGCTGTTGGAGTAAATTTGAAAAAGTGGATAGCTAAAATAGATAATATAATATTTAAATATATTTTGAGTAACTATTTTAGATAGTACTGTTGGAGATGCTCTTCCACATCATATTTTGGATAAAAAGCCCCTCAACAACTAAAGATTTCTTGATAAATTTGTTATAAAAATAATGAAACAGTGTAGAAAGTGATAAGCTAATACATTGTCTCTAAGAAAAATCCTCCTGTGTATCTTCTTCTTCCTCAAGCAATACGCACACCCCAAGAATCAAAGTCTATTAGACAATAGATTACTACTTAATCTTTACATTTTCTCTGTTAATCACTAATTACACTTAAATAACAACTCCATCATAGTGTTTCTCGATTTTTTACACCAATGAAAAAATGTGTCAATTGGACATTTCCTCAACATGCATCATTTCTATACTAGATTTTTAAAATTGTCCAATCAGGAATCAATGTGGATTCTCCGCTGATACATTATTTGTGATTAAAGGAGAGAAAAAACAAATATGACATACTATATTTACATGAATTCTCTACCCAATAATGGAACTAGAAAATACAAAGTTAGGGGAGCCAAATAAATAAACTTGTTCAAAATTTTAGAACTTTTTTTTTTGGGGGGAGGATGGGGGGATGGCAAATAAAAACTACACAAACTATGAATGTCAAAATTCAAATATTTGAGACTTAGGGGTCGTGGCCTCCCCTGGTCCATACATGGGTTCCTTCTTCACTCATACTCCGTGGACGATCTAACATTAATAGTGTGTTTGGTAGGTTGAATGAAAAAATAGAAGGATAAAAGAGGATTTTTTTTTCCTCTTTTATGTTTGGTAAGAGGAATGAAAAGTAGAAATTATTTATTTTTTTATATTTGGTAAGATGAAAAAATGGAAGAATGAAAAAAATATAAACACATATTTTACCATTATATCTATATATGAAATTAATGTATATATAATATATAATTAATAAATATGTGTTTGCACCTAATATATAAAATCTCAGGAATATGCAATGTATGACATCTGACAAATTTGGAGAAAGGCAAGAGATGATCTGTCACAACCACATTTGAAAAGAAGAATAATTATCTAAAAGTTACCAGTTAGATACATATCGATGAAAATAAAAATCGTCGAGAACAATGGTTATAAAAGGATATGTAGTAGAGAAGACAAGGATATACTCAAACCCCCCAAGACCCACGATTTGTGCATTTTTAGGAGTAATTTCAGATTATTTTTAATAACTGCAATCAAGAATGCTCATTCAATCTTTTTTGTCACTAATATTCATTGGATTGAATTAATAAAAGAGAATTCTTTTATTAATTCCTTGTACTGTGCATTTTTTTCCATTAATTTCATTCAAAGACGTCTTGAAACAAGACATTTGAATCTCTCACGAACAATTGTCTGAAAGTTGTCTCTCGATTAAGATTATTTTGTCTATCTCAATAAATTTTAGAGCAACATATATATATATATATATATATATATATATATATATATATATATATATATATATATATATATATATATATATATATATATCAATGGATATATAGATAAATAACATATATTTGAGTACATATAATTATTTTTCATCCATTTTTTCTTCCAATTTTAAAGAGATTATTTTATGTGAATTAAAAAAAAAAATTAATTCCTTCACTTTTCTATTTTCTATTTTTACGAAACATTATCTGTCATCCCAATTTTCTATCTTTTCATTTTTTCCATGGTACCAAACAAACAAAGAGTAAGCGAATGGAAGAAATTTAATATAATCGCGGAATGTAATTCACATTTTCATGGTTTCTTGTGTCAATAGCATGTTCTCCGGCACAAGTATGACAAGTCCACGATGGCAGCTCTTGTGATTAAGACACAGACAATCACTGATGCCACCCCACGCCAATCAAGCACCGACAATTCGGACTCAATTACGAATAATCTCATTCTTAATTACAAAACAATTGTCCAGCATCCCATGTGAAGCGGAGGAGAAAAGGCCTAAAGTGTCAAAAATGATGGTATAATAACCACGTCTAATGTTCATCAAAAGCATCAAACAGTTTGTGGTCATCATCATCAAACCTTACATGTTTTCGACTTCCACAAGCAAAAGTTGACAGGAAGAAAAAGCTCAGACAAACATAAACTTAGAGTCCACATTCAACTAAACTGTCATGAAAGCAATCTGAACCTTTATTATTAAATTCCACAGTTTGGCCACATCTTAACAAACAAAGAATAAACAAAACCCAATGATCAGACAAAGATATGTTATAGTTGCGCATAATAAGAATAATAAAAAAAACCCTTTATTCTATTCTCAATAAACAGTATAAGTGACTAAAATTTACAATCCTCAAGCCCTTGCAGCTTGAAAAAACCTTCTCTAGTGAGTGACAGAGACTTCTCTCTCTCACTCTCTCTCTCTCTCTCTCTCTCATGCATGAAAATATATATTATTAGCTGGACATTCCTCTATCTCCACTCTCTCTCTCTCTCTCATGATTTATACTTGTATATACTAAGAAAATAATCTTTCATGGAGCTTCTCCAGGTACTTGTTTCTTGTATATTCCCAAGGGGAAAAGATAAACAAAAAACATAACGCACATATCTATGACCTCAGCATTTCAGTAAACACAGGCTCCTCCTATGCATTTCTTTACCTATGCTCTTTTCTGTTTTTGCTGCTTCGGGTATTGTCTGACTAAGAGCTCCGCGTAGAGAAGCTCATTCCACGCATCAGGCACACCAGGAAGGCACCAATGACTGCAGTCCTGGAACCGTAATGGCGATGTTTTCTCTTCCTCGGACAAATTTTGCTTCCTGTAAATTGAAGGGTGGCCATCCTTCCGATAATCAGTCAAGGATGTGATGTTCAGATAAGAGACATGAGTTTTCATCCCTTTCAAGACCCTCTCCAACACTGTCATCTTGGGTGGATATTGCCTGAGATATGTCTCATTTTTAATTGGCTCAGTTTCGCTATCGCATTGCCCACCAGAGTTCCACTGTCCACCGCTGCAGAAAAACAAAAAGCACCAACTTTCAAATGGCAATATAGGATTCAGAATGTCAATGGTGACAAAACCAGTAAGTGTTGAGCAAAACAACAGAATGAATAATCAATATATACGGCAGTTCTTGTTCGATATATCATTCTCATCCTAAAATCGAAGATGGTGATGAACTGATTGCATAATCAAGAACGAAAAAGCACTTCAGTTTTCATTTTCTTCAAATTTGTTGATGGTGATAAGGGACTACAAGCTATGGTAAGGACGGAAGTAAAAACTCAAAACTCATCACCACACATTTCTTTTATTGTTCAGCTTATTACCTGAAATGAGAAGCAGAATATCCCCTGAAGAAAACAGAAGTTCTCATAGGATTTATATTGGCATCAACCCATCTTGCCCATGTTGTTAAAGCTTTCCGAAACGCCTCAAGAACATTGAGTTCACTGTACACATGGCTACCTTCTTGATAATAGTCCTTCCTACAATATTACATCACTGTTTAGTGGCTTTTCAAATTAACTTTTTTCCCAGTAATGAACTGACTCCACACATTCAATACAACTGTGGTGTTTACCCTAAGGAAGTCTTCTCATGAGTCCACCAATGGCCCGTGTTGAAGATAATGATATCTGCACTTTTGTATAGAGCAGAAGACCTCTCGACCATATCTAGCCGAAGGGTTTCCTTCTTCGATCCATTTTTGTCCGCCATTTCCCATTCTTGAACCAAGAAAGGAGATACAAAGAACTCTACGGTGCAATTATAATCCTGCCAATCATTGTTTCCAACCCAGACAAAACAAAGAAATTTCACTAAATTTAGAAGACATTACACAATTCTCAGTAGAAAAGCAAATATGATGACAATATCAATAAAGAGAAGACTAAGTAAACAATTTACTTTAAATACAAAGGAATAAGAAGCTTCTCCACGAAAATGGTGTCTTCCAGATGCCTCGTAAACCTTTCTTTGATCTTTTACAGAGTTTCTAAGAATGCAAACCAGAGATTCCCACATATTCCTATTGAGGGAATCCCCAACAAAAACCAACCGTTTTCCTCTCAACAATTCCAGCATATGACTTCCATTCAACCTGCATTACAACCAGAACTAAAAGCTTATATTGATGTACTGATCTATTTTACATCGGATGAAACATTACGAACATAAGGCTTGGATTGGTTATGAAAAATTACAAACAAAATTTTCTAGAACTAAATCAACTGATAGAAATATTCAGCAGGATCAATATCAGCAGAATATGACCCCAAAATTAGCATTGATGGTTCAACTATACTAGAAGAACTGAACAAAAAAATTGTAAACCTTAAAACCAAGACAGAATGTAATCTTCCATCCATTGGTCCGTTCATATCTCTTTCTTCAACTTTGGTCTAATTTGGACAGATAAGAACCGTAGTAGAGCATACCAAATAAATAAAACTGATGGATTAATCTAGATCTCCATTTTAACAATATATGAAAACAAAATCAAAACCCAGGGCACTTAGATTGAAGAAATTTCTTATTCTTATTTTTTTGTAATCTCACTATATAAGATTTGCACTTTAGAGCAGAACCCATTTCAAACTATGCTTAAATAAAAATTTCTCTGCAAGGAAAAAAAACATAGAAAAATTAAGTTTGAACAAAAAAAAAAGTAAAAGTTTTGCCACATACCTTGGTAGAGTACATCCCTTAGGCTTCCATTTGAATTTTTCATAATTTTTATCAGGCCTTCCATTAAGAAAACAGTTGAATTGCTCATCAATCAGTGAACATGAACCCGGTTTATACAACGGGTAAGAGTCATCTCTCACCCAATACCCATCAAATAGATTGCAATTCATCAAAGACTCCACCAAATTCTCACTCCTCTGTTTCACCGACACACCCGAATTAGACCCATTGCTCTGGTTTCTCAACAGAGAAGAAGTAAAATTTGACGAATTATCCTTCTTTCCAATTCCTTTCTCTCCATTCCCACTAACATTTTTTCTTTCAGAAGAAGAATCTGATTCCAACTTTGCAGTTTTATTTGCTGCTGCCGGAGATTTTGGTGCCACAATTGTACTCAGATTTGGCTTCAGGACTTCAACTTTATCGCGTGGTTCTTTAACCTGACTCTGGTTCTTGGCAATTGATCCTTCTCTATTCAAATTGGGGGACTGAAAGGTTGTATTTGAGGATTTTGGTGCCTCAATTGTACTCTGATTTGGCTTCAAGACCTCAAATCTATCATGCAAATCTTTATTCTGGGTCTGGTTTTTTCCAATGTCTGGTTCTGTTTTCAATTTGGGTGGTTGAAATGAGTCATTTCGAGATCTATTAATGTTGGTTTGTGATGTCTGAATAGTAGAATTGTGGGTTTGTGTGGAATTTGGAAAGAAACGAGAGATAATTGAAGAGAAGTGAGATCTATAAGACTCCTCAGAGAAAATTGAAGAACTACTTGTACTACTACTGCTAGAGAAGATGTTTGTGAACCATGGTGATGACGAATTGCTAGAAGGACTAAAAGCTAAGAAAGCAGTGAAGGCAATGAAAGCAAAAACGCATCCATAAGCACAAGCAACTGTTCTTTTTGTTCTCAGGTGAGAGAAATGGCTCTTCAGGTCTGAGATCAGGGTTCCACTATTGATTGGTGCATATTTTATTGCATCCGGCATGTCGGTAGGTGGAGTCTGTGATTTTTTGCAAGACCCAGAAACTGAGAGTACTGAATTTTGGAGAGAGGGTGGTGGCTTGTAGGAGAGAGATGATACTGTAGATGGAAGGGGGAAGCAACTGACTATGAGGGGAGATGATAGTCTACGCAGAAGGGAACATCGAGAGAGAGAGAGAGAGAGAGAGAGAGAGAGAGAGAGAGAGAATAGTGTACGGAGACGGGAGAAAAGCAGGAGAGAGAGAGAGAGAGAGAGAGAGAGAGAGAGGTTAGCTCTTTCACTATATCCCCGTTTCTAGTCTCCACCAAATGACAAAGGCCATGTTCGTCCACTCAAAGTAAAAGTTAGTTATTTACCAAAAAAAAAAGGTAAATGCAAAATACCTCCCATATACTTTGGCGTATTTGCACACCATCTCCCTATTTTACATCTTTTGCACTACACCTCCCAAAAAAAAAGTGCAAATATACTCTCATCACATCATTCAATTTTATAATTGTACCCCAAGCTAATTTTTCAATTTTTTCGTAATTATCTATGTCTATAAACCATCCTCACCTTACCCCTACACAGCCCTCTCCCCACCTACTTATCCCCGGCACACACTGTCCATAACTATGGAGAATCACACAACTCTACACCACTTGTTGCAGCCATTCTCCCACCACCCGCATTGGCCTTCTCTCCCCACCTGTAAACCAACTCTTGTGCCACCCTAATCGCCACAATCTAACTATATCCGATGTCACAACCTACCTCACGCGACACACTGGGTACACACCCAACATCGAAAAACCACAACCACAATAAAAATACACCCCCTCATGTCACACAAAATCTCCTGCTCCTCTCTGACAACTTTACAGACTCCTCTTGACAACTGTATAGTTGTTGTGATTGTTCATGACTGATGTTGTAAAAACTCTACCTATACTATAAAGCCTTAGTGAAGAAAGCATATGTTGAGGTGAAATTGACAAACTATTTGGTAAAGGTTATTTTGTTCATGTGTCGTCGCCAATGTGACATGGTGTTCTCAAAAAAGGAGTTGGTTGTAATTGGGTTTTGTTCTTGGATGTTGATGAATTCTCCAACTTTTCATTTCCAACTCTTTTGCCCAAAGAAACAAAAAATTGGGATTTGCTAGACAAAAAAATTGGATTTTCTAGATAGAATTATATTGAAGTTTCTTTGCAAATTTCTTATCATTAACAACAACTGAACTATCAAATTGGTGACTAAATTCTATGAAATTTGGAACATTGGTCGTGGGGAATTTGTACAAGCCAACTTGGCTAATCCTAATACTGGGTCTCTTGCACCGGCCTCCCTTTTTTAGGTCATATTTGTCATTAATTTTTGTAAAGTCCGTCCATTTTAGCAGAAAGAATCATAATTCAAGGGGCTTAAAGTCAAGAAGCTTATAGTCTATGGGGTTATTTGCAACTGTCCCTAAATATAGAGGGCTTTTTTACAATTACCCTCAGAAAACTCCACTTGGTGCGCACTTAATAGCTCAACCGCCCCATCTCTCTTAGTTGCATTGAACCTTTAGTGATGCTAACAATCCTTGTGGAGATTGTGGGACAGTTCTAAACACAGGGTCTCGATGACAATGATTGAAATAGACACATTATGTTCTTCACGGGTAGGACTTGTTAGATGTAGATTGTAGCTCCCCTCGTACCCTTGCAGTTTATTAGAGTAAATTACCTTTTTAACTCTAAAATTAATCCCTAATATTATTCATGTATCTACATTATGTTTTAATTTCAATCAAGTCTTTGAAGTTTTTAAGCTGCTTCTCTCGACTTCTTATTTAAAACCTTGAAAGAGAACACGTTTTTTAACTCCCAACAAACTAGTCATAACGTCCGAGCTGATAATCTAATCATAAGTCATGAATCAATTTATGAGAGTAAAGCGATTTGCTGATTTAGTGTTAAGTCATACTCGTTTAGAGTCATTCTTAACTCCAGGTTAGTAGTTATGATTCAAGCCAGATTTTCAGAGTAAGGAAATACTCATGGTCACGTCTCAGAGGATTACTATACCTCCAAACACCCACATCCACCTCCAAACCAATGACCATCACCTCCACCTCCACCTTTACAAGTAAACATACACCAATGGATTTTTTTCAATTTTTGGTAACAATGATGTCTAGAAATTCCTTAGATATGATATGAGAATTCAACACGAATCAATGTGGAATTGCAAGATTCAAGTGATAAACAAGTGAACTTATTAAACAAGTAAACTTTACCAATGAGTTTTTGGTTTAATGGTACTCTTTACCTTCTGAAAATTTTGTTTTACCAGACTTTTGGTTCAATGGTACTCATTGTCTTGTAGAGATTTTGCCTTGTTGAGATCAATGGTTCAAATCCTTCTAAAAAAAAAAAAATTTTAAAAGAAAAAAAAAGTGAACTTATTAAACCATCAAATATGAGGCAAAATAAATAAATTATGATGGGTCAAGTCCAAAAGAGTCTACACCCGGATAACCTTATCAAGATCAAGGAGCTACATCAGTAGGGGAGCATGCATGGTCATCCAAGAGCCTCCTCTACCACCTTAGAGTAAGGGTCATTCAAGAACCTCCTCTACGCCACCAAGGGAGCATCCAGGAGTCTCACCCTCGCAGTCTAGAGAGAGTCAACCTCCTTCATCCTTGACCAAGTCCTTTGGAGAGCACACCAACCGTCACACCTCGCTCGTTGAGAAGATGATAGGTCGACTCCGCCAGATCAACTACCTAATTACTATCAAACGGTCTTAAGCCATTATGACCGTCAGACCAGTCATACAATTACTATACCAAGTCACTATAAATTGTAAGCTCCCCCAACACTTGGGGGGCATTAGACTCATTTGAGCATAATTCTCTCCTCCCCTCTCAAAGCATGTAATCATGTGCTCTCCCTTCACACCGCAGATAATAAAATTTCGGCGAACCTAGTCATTCAAAGTGGACGTAGGTCGTATTGACCGAACCACTATAAATCTTGTCTTCTCTCCCCTTCTACTTACTGTATTTTATACTATAACTTGATTAATGGTGTGCAAACTAATTTGTGCATCATCAGTTTGGCGCCGTCTGTGGGAACGACAGTTCTCACCTAGCCACTTTTCTTTACTGAGTCAAAGTCGATCACCAACAGATCCTAAAACTAATGCTCCTCGGGCGTCAAGGAGTTCTCCACATGGGCGCTCCTCATCTAGGTGGAAGAGCACAACTTGGACCTCAAGTCAGAGGAGCTCCATGCCCTGGGCATCAAGGACCTCCCCACATGGGTGCTCCTCATCTAGGAGGAAGAGCACAACCTAGACCTTAAGTTAGAAGAGCTCCACGCCCTGGGCGTCAAAGAGCTCCCCACATGGGTGCTCCTTATTTGAGCGCCCCCTCAGGCGCTCCGCACAGGGGAGCTCCCCACAATGGACCTCCACCTCCTCTTTCAGCTCCCTCTTTTCATGATGGAGACCCTCTTTCCAAGAGGACGAGGGTGAAAATCAAAGCTTGGAGCATGGGAGTCATATCCATGGTAATTTCAAGGGACCTCCTCCTAATCATTGGGATGAAAAAATTGAGGTACAGAATCAATTGGGTGATGTCTTCAATGCCATGAAGACACGAGGACCCGATATAGTGGATTATCTTGTAAGTCAAACCGACACACCTTTCAAACCTGATGTGGCGAACTACCCACTCCCTCAAAAATTCAAAATGTCATCCGTCGAAACCTTTGATGATATGAAGGATCCATTGTACCACCTTGAAACTTTTAAGACCTTGATGCAACTGCACAACGTCCCTGACGAAATCATGTGCAGAGCGTTCTCAACCACTTTGAAGGAATCCGCTCGACAGTGGTTTGTCAAGATCACCCCCGCTTCCATCGGTTCATTTGCTGAGTTGAGCTGAGCTGGTCCTTCGTGTTGCACTTTATTGGAGGACGCCGTCACCAAAAGCCTGTCACCCACCTACTCAGCATAAAAGCAGGACCGAGATGAGAGCCTGCAAAACTATCTCACTCGTTTTAATGAGGAGGTCCTTTAGGTCGAAGAGCCCAATGAAAAATTCAGCATGACTGCCTTCTTGGGAGGCCTTCGGTCATCGAGTTTTCTTTTCTCTGTGATGAAACGTCCACCAAAGAGCATTCTAGAACTATTGGCAAAAGTTCAAAAATTTATGAATGCTGAGGAAATCAACAGCTTTAGGCGAGGTGAATCATCTCACGGATTGCCAAAAGCTTGACATGTCTCTATACTGTTCTTAAACAAGTAGTTTATCTCCAGCTTAGCGGCTTTCTCGAGGGTCGCCAAAAAGTTTGGCCTACCTCTACACTGTTCTTTAAACAAGTAGTCTATCTCCAGCGTAGCGACTCTCTCGAGGGTTGCCAAAAAGTTTGCCTACCTCTGCACTGTTCTCAACACATGCAGTCTATCTTTAGTTTAGCGACTCTCTCGCGGGTTGCCAAAAAAGTTTGACCTCTGCACTGTTCTTAAACAAAGCAGTCTATCTCCTGGCTCTCTCACGAGTCACCAAAAAAGCTTGGCATTTGCTCTGCTCTCAAGCAAGTGGCATATATCTCAAGCTTAAAGACTCTCTCATGGGTCACCAAAAACTCGGTCTCAAAATGTGTAGCTCTCTCACGAGCAATCCTCAAACTCTGTCTTGCTCTCACGCAAGCAGCCTGTCTTTCTCTTCAAGTAATCATGTTAAATATTTTAATATTTGAAATAACATTATTTTTGTTATCATAAGCAGGTTCACCCATCTTAGCTCGGCGACATAGAATCGTTGGGAGATGTGATAAGCAGAAACAATCCTCAGAATATCATGCAAGAATTTGATTTTGAGAAGGTGCACTGAGAGGAGCTGAACCATCACCATTGAAAGTGTCTGGTGTACTCTACCCCCGGGCTCCAGAACCAGGCTTGCCAAGAAATTCCTAGGCAACCTTGCCTGCATAGGTGAGAACTGAACTCCCTATAGAGGCATCTAAAGCTCCTTGGCTACCTAAACTCCTTGAATTATCACCAAAAGTGGCACCCAAAATTTTCTTGTAGCTTGCACTACTCAACCCAGTGCCTAAAGAAGCTCTTGACCCTCTCTGCTCGCCTAAATGGGCAGCCTAGTGCCTAGAGAGGTGTCTGGCCCCCTCTGCTCATACAAGCGAAGTAGTCCTGCAGGCGCCTAACCATTTGTGCTCACCCAAAATGGAGCCTCTTAGTGCCTTCATGCCAAGACTAGCCTTCTTTCCACCTTTTGCTCACCAGGATCAGCGCCCCTAAGCGCCTGATGGACCAGATCAGCACGCCCAGCATGCATGAAGACTCGAGCAGCCCTCTCATCTACTGCGCGAACTGTAGCAACGCACAGTGAT